CCACAATAGAGTGAACAGCAGTAGGAATGCTTTGCTTCATCAGTTTCAGTAATCTTAACCCCCTTTCCCATGCGGTAATGTCCATGCTGCGTTCGGCAGGAGGAGATCCTTAGAAAAAGTGAATACTCCATGATCAACACCATACACATACATATTGTATTACCAAAAAGACAAGCATTGGTTACAACAAAATAAAGAGGGAAAAGCAAACACTGGAACAACTTATGTATGGTGCTTCCCACAGGGATTTTTTTTTGTTACGTGAAGTGATGTAAGAAAATAATAGAATGATATGATAAACCAACCTGATTTCTTCTGATTCAATACTGACTATGTCACCTGAAACAAGTTCGTATTGGTAGCGACACTTTGCACAAGATACTATCTGCAGCAGAAATGTTTTTATTGACCTTAAAACTACCATATAATCATAAACAATTTAGTAGTGGTAAATACTTAGAGAAAATCACAAGAGAGTAGAGACCTACTCAGTGTTTCATTTAAAAATAGATGTCTCAGAGAACCAATAAAAAGATAGCTTCATGAATCTCAACAAAAGACCATAGCAGAAAATTACTTCGCACTTAACATGAGCAACTCATTTCTAATTCTTCACACACTAAATATTAACCCTCATTGGAAACATCCCATCAAGGAATTCATGAATAAGACAAAAAATGTCTAATACTCTTAGTGTATCAAAACTTACACTCAGGAACTTTGAAGCAAAATGAAAGAGAGTAAATGGTGGAATAAATCTAAAGTCCAATGAGTTTGAGACTGCCTTTTCATAATTAGTCTCCAATCAACAAAATTGAACATTAACTTATCCTCTTTACAAGGTGCACTTGTCATAAGTTGAGTCAATATCAGCATACCAAGAAAGGAATTGATGTTTGGCAATGTCGTAGTTGAGTTATCATGTTATCAATGCCCAAGGGGACCAGACCCAAAGAGAGAGGGGAATATACTAAATTAATTAGCACACTAAATGACTAAATGAATATTGAACCACAAGCATATCCGTCATTGAGTTATTCCAACGACTAGGATTTATTAAATTTCAAAATATGAAGGTGCCCACAGAGACAGGGATCAGTAAAGTACATAAATAATCAAAGTAATAATAGAATTACAGTTCTGCATAGGCACGGGAATACCTGAATACCTTGTTGTGGCTGTGCAACACCCACAGCAATCCGACAACTAGGACACTTCACTATCTTCCCAAAAGGAACCTGCAACAACCAAAAATGTTAACATTGAAACCTCACATAATCCATCACAACGTATATGCATAGTGATTCAATTCAACGTAATGCAAACATTACCATACCTCCTCACCAGGAGAAACGCCAACCTCACAAATATACTTAATGACCCTAAGAGCGTCAGAAACCCTCAACACCGCAGCTAAACCCTGAATCAACAACATGTAAACATGTGCATTTGGCCTTGACCACTTCCATCTCTCAACCAAAGGACCAGTCTCGCCAACTACTCACAGTCACAGAACACAAACAAACGCGTTATTAAATCGTAGCAATAATTAAACCTAACACAACATGCACGTGCACACAGACACACACACACGAGCAAGCTGCGGAGAAAAATAACCTTGTTGAAAACTGGCGCGCATGGCGTAGAAAATGGAGAGAGCGAGTTGCGGATTGTTGCGGTTAAGCGCGGCGGTTATAATGGAGCAGCAATCAGAGGTGGAAACGACGCCGTCGTTTCGGGAAGAGTTTTGGGCGATCATCTGCAAGGCTTCGACGGCGTCTTTGGCGTTTGCGGCGATTCGGAGGAGAAGTTGGTGGTCCAGTAGGTCGGCAGCGGTGTGGTCGGAGGTTTCATTGTGGCTCTCACTGACGGAGGCTTTGGCGTTTGGGAACCTGGATTGGTTGTGGAGTGAGGAAGTAAAGAAGAATAGAGAGGGGTAAGGGGTGTGGTTGGGGAGTGAAGAAGAAGGGTGGTGGAGTAGGCGAGAGAAACATGGAGTGCAAAGGTTTAGAGTCATAGCAGAAAGTTGAATTGGTTTGTATGGCGGCAGAGTCCGAGAGTAGCTATTGCATCGCGGAGGGAAAGGGAGAGATGAGGAATCAGAGGTCCATCTAATTTCACTCACTGCTCAGACTGGATAAGATAATATTGGTGTTTTTTTCTAAAACAAAAGCAAGTGGAGGTGCGGGGAATCGAACCCCGTGCCTCTCGCATGCGAAGCGAGCGCTCTACCATATGAGCTACACCCCCACATCGATTTTAATCTAAGCATCTCAATATTATGCAACTTGTTTTAGTAGAAACAAAATAAACAAATTTCTCTGTAAATAAACTAATTCTCTCTAAATATAACTTAGACTGAAGTAAATATTTAATTTGAAATCAATTTTAAGAGTTATTTATTTAATTAAGTTTTTTTTACGAAAATATTCATATGATTTTATATATATATATTTTTTGTTTGTTTTTTAATTAAATTTTACTATTTAACTAAAATAAATTTTGATAATTAAAAATAATCTTATATTATTGAATAAATTACTTATTATAAGTATAAAATATATTTCATATGCTTAAAATATTTATTTATTATGAATATCAGTTTTAATTTTAATATAGTTTATAGAGATATAATACACATGTAATAATCCATAAAATAATTTATACGGCTGATAAAAATATACAATAATTTGCACAACAATAGTTTTGTATTTATTACTCCGTGACACAGTATTTATTCTTTTAATTTTTTCTCTCTCTTTTCTTTCTTAGTTAAATTGTTGTGTAATTTTTTATACAAGTATTATTTAAGTAATTTACATATTAAAAAATATTTATTTATAATAAATTATAGTTACAGACAAGAAATATTTATGTTGTATATTTGACATACTTTTAAAATATTAATATTTAAAGAACAGAGTATTGTGAAATGGGTCACATGAGTCCAAAATAAATAAGTCATCGTTTAATAAAGATTTATTAAATTGAGGCTTATTGCAATTAGTGAGTTCAACGTATATAAAGAGACACAATTAGTTACTTGATCTGTTTTATTTTGTTTTTCATATATTTTTGTGGGTCCATAAGTTAAAAATAGTACTAGTAATAGGAAGCTTATTTATTATGTTTGAAGAGAAAAAATAAAAATAAAAATTGCGTAAAAGAGGCATTGATTGTTGATGAAAAAGAGTATCTATTGTGAAGAGTGAGGAGAGTGCAATGAGGAAGTGGGAGAGAAGGAAGAAAAAGAAAGAGTGGAAGATGGGTCAGGGGAATTCCTGCAGAGAGGACAGGTGGCATTCAATTTGAGCCACTCGTCTATGCAATCAGCATGAAAATAATGGTTGCATTCGGGGATGCTCCTCAACGTCTCTTTGGGTTCATATTCGGAGAGGCATATTGCGCACGTGTTGTCATTGGGCTTCAATAAGCGCCCACTCTCCCCAATCAGGGTTTTCGGATACTTTTCAATTGTGGCACCGTCCAGGCCCATTACAAAAGGAACGGGCTCAAGGGAAATTGTCACCGGAAAATCTCTGCTCCCTCGCCGTTCGGTTAACATCCGAACCTTACCGCAGATATAGCATGAAACCCCTATTAGACACAACAGTCCAGGGATTCCCACTCCTATGGCTAACCCATATCTCGCACTTCTTGAAAGACCTGTATCATATGTAAATAAATCAACTGTTAACTCGACAGATATCACTCTTAACTCTTAAGGGCTTTTCTCTTTCAATCAATCTTTAACAAAATTAACTCATGACCTACCTAACAATTGAATTAAATGCCTTTAGTAAATTACTAGGCTTTTTTAAGGAAAGTAAAAGTGTATATAGTTTGCATTTTAAAGTAAATTATTGTTTACTCAAAACTTAATAATTGAATCATAAATATCGATTTTAAATATCCATAAAAATAACATTGATTGTACGTTAAATAATAATATAGTTATGAGATTTTATGTGAACCCATCCATAAGAATTTGTTTAAAAATATATTAAAGTTTTACTGAAAAAAATTATAAATATCTATTTAAAAATTTAGTATGATTTGGATCCAAACTCATCACACTTTGCTGAAAATGCTCAAACCTTGACAATTTACTAACCATATTTTATAATCCAAGGCGGTTGCAATGCATGTCTCACGCCTTGAAAGAAACTAACCCATATCTAATTCTTCTCATTGTTTGTCCTATTGTGCTACTTGTCATAAATCATGTTTTTATAGTTCTATTATTCAACAACTATCCATGTGTACGTGCCAACTGTCCTAATTTATTTTTCAAATGATGCCCATAGCCCATTTTCACACAATTGAAAGTGCCAATCACCTAACTCTATCCTAAAAAAAAAAAAAAAAACTCACACGGTCACAACCACCCACAGAAAATATAGATCAAGTAAATACCCATAACGCATACCAAACTTTGATCAAACTGGTTCCCTCACCCCATTTCCATAAAAAAAATAAAAAATAAAATAAAAAATCGCTATTTAAAGTTGGACAAAAAAAGACTCGGTCGTTTGAAGTTAGGCAACAAACAAGGAAATTCAATCACTCCGACTCCAACCAGACATTTCGTTACTTAAAACTTAATTAAAATGTTTCTTTGGAAGTACAAATGCACTATTTACATTTTTCAAAAGTAGGAAAGCATCGAAATGTCAACTTCTAGCACATCCGTTCATTTCTTAAGTTAGCATTAAACCCGAAGTTGACGTAGTGATTCTTATTTGTTTCCCCAATCGCGACGCGACGCCTCACCAAACCACAAACCACCTCAACCATTCAGAAAAACGTCATCGTCGCATGTTGTTGGAGTTTAACCACATCCACATAACGAAAAAAAGAAAATAAAATTGAATAGAAAAAAAAAAAAAAATACCTTTGTTGGAGTCCCTAGGGAAGCAGGCAAGTTGAAGGGTTTTAGAGAAGCCACAACGTTGGGCAGTAACAGCACAGTCCCTACATTCTCTGGGCTGAGTCCAGACCAACTGAAGGTCGATGTTGAGATCGGGCCAGAAGGGCCACATGGGCATGTCCATCATGGGAATAGGGACAAGAGCCCTCGTCAGAAGCTCGCACCGTTGAGACATCATGGGTGAAGACACAACAGGGGGTGACCACGAAACCACCACGGAGTAGTTTCTGTTGTCGCTAAGGCAGGAAATCGGCAGTAACGGGAATTGAGAGGAGTCCGTAACGTTGGAGGGGCAACGCAGGAAAGTGAGGTTGTAGGGATTGGTTCCGTAAATCATGGGGTTCAGAATAAAAGGCGAATCCGAAAGGTTCCACTTTTGCAAGAAGCGTTTGGGGAGGCAGCCGTTAGGGTCGTTGACTCGGATGGTTTGGGTTTCGTAATCGATGCTGTTGACGATTAGGTTCCCGAAACGTGGGAGGGTGAGGATTGTTTTTGTGGCGTTGAGGCACGAGAGTTGGAAAGTGGGGTTGGGGTAATACCAGCAGCGAGGGCTTTGGCTCGAACCTTTCAAACCGAAGGGAAACTGGATATCTACATCGCCGCATCTTAAGCTGTTGCAGGTAACTGCTTTGTTTGCTCTTGTGGTTTGGAGGTGGAAAAGGAAGAGACATAGAGCACATACCATGGCTGAGGGGGCCATTGTGATTTGTGAATGCAAAGTGTTGGGAGGGGTTCTCTTTTTGGTATTGTAAAAGAGAAGTGGAAATGGGGGCAGGCCCCTAGTCAATTTTCTTTAATGTGATTGTCAACAATGGTCAATTCAGAGAATAGAATAACCAGCGTACTTGCGTGGCATTCTCATTGACCAATGGAAAGTGACAAATGATAAATATTAAAAAGCAGTGCTGGAGTCGCTTCTCACCACAAACTTCAAGTGGCTTTCAGATTCACTGCTTCACCTTCCTTCACCTACCATTTGTAAACAAGGTAACGGAAATAAAAGACCAAACCCAAACTTAACAAAATATTAATTACTCATTTTTCAGACTTAAACTACAAATGTACCGAGTGTCACAACAACTCCTCAAGTTAATCAGGATTGCATTTCACATTGACTAAATCTCACAAGAGAATTTGATATTATATTATAATTTTTAATTTTTAATTTCCATTCTAATTATGTCTTTCTTTGTGTTTTATATTGTTCTATATAAACTTACATTAAAATAAAATAATCAATCTGTAAACTTATTACAAATTTTAAAAGAGATGAATGATTGACTATGATCTAACAACATATATATTGTTTTTACATAATTTAAACTTTAAGTTATGAATAAAAGGCTTAAAACACCGAATTTTGTAGAATATTTTTTTTGGTAAACAAGCAAAATGAATCTTCTTATCAACCCCAAATGGACACGGCAACTCATCGGATGGATCGTTTTGACTGTGGTAAAGTTAAGCTGATTAAAAGAATGGTCCAATCATATTAGTTGGACTATTCACGCATTGCACCAACTTTTCAATAATTAGATTTTTATTTCATAAACAAATATTTAGTACGTGTTTTGAATAGAAGTTTGAAAACCATAATAAACTGGTTAGAGGAAAGATTTAGTTAAAAATGTATAAAATAAAATAATATACATATATTTAAATAATATATAATTATTTAGTAGTTCATCAAGTCTATTCACCCACCAAACACCCTCCTATTCAAGTTCACATGTAAAGAAAAGAACTACACAATACTTACCTCAGCAAACGTATTTTGTACTCTCTGTTGAACTCAAAATAGGTACATCTTCACACTCTTTTATTCTTTTTTCAAACCCTAATAAGCTTGCATATTGCAATTAACTTGCCACTTTGGTCAAACTTCAATATTTCAAGCCTTTACACCGGGAATTGTTCTACTGATACCCAAGCTTGGTATTCGGGTTAACATGAACCTAATCAAAAATGCAGAAGAAATACTCCAAATAATATTTGATCTTGTTTTGATCTTTTTTTGTTTTTCAATATGTTCTTCCCTCATTTTCATATATATATATATATATGTATTATTGCTCCAATTCTCTAATTGATATTTTTTTTGTATGTTGTGTTAGGTGTTAAAAAAATGGAAAAACCTCAGAAGAATAATTCTTTTGTAAGTATAATTTGTACAACTTTTTGAAAGAATATGAAAGAGTTTGTTTGTAAGGAGCACTACTTCATCTTCTGTTGCGTAAAATTGATTTTCATACTGATCTTTTACTCTTGAAGTTGCATCAATTGAGGGATTTGGGTTGGCGCTGCAAATAGAATTAAGGAAAAAATAAATTATGATATGTTGGTGTTGTTCCTTCTGTGCTTTGACTTTTCTTTGCCGTTGACTGCTAAATTGGGATTTCGATATAAAAACATGTGATTTTTTATTATTCTATTATATGATTTTTTGATGATTTTTTATTAAATTTTAAGGCATATATTAATTTGTGCAAAACCAAACATTAAACAAGAATTGCCTGTATAGAGAATAGTCTCTATTGTACAAACGATTAGCAGGCTAATTTATTACATGTATAGAAGGATATATGGCCTCGGCCTAGTATAAAATTACAATTCATCTCAATTTATTAATTGTAATTTAACATTGTTGGCGCTAGATAGTTAGTTAAATCGGATAAAAGATATTGAGATATTTAATAATTATCATTAATTAATATAAAATATATATATAAGGCAACAATATATAACAATAAAATTAGTCGTACAAAAATTATAAAATCAACTTATTTCGTATAAGTTAAGTAGTGTTAATGTGTTTCATTTTTCTCCTCCAAATGAACATGAATATGGTGTGCTTGTTGTGATATATTAGCATTTGAATAAACACAATTTTTAACATATTTCTCACTTTTAGACTTCTAGTCTTTCTCTTTTACTTATAAAATACTAAAATTTTAAATAAAAAAAAGTAGGTAACTTGTGACCTCATCAAACTAACTCGGTCTAAAACTCATTTATGACACAAACTTTATTGGATTAGACTAAAAAGACTTTTATGTAAATCGAACCTAAAATTTAAAGTTTAAATAGCATAGTTTATTGGGAAGCTTCAAACTAGCATACCAAGCTCAACTTATTTTGCCGACTATATTGTGTACCTCGTGTCCTTTCCGATTTTATTAATGGTTAATTTGTCTTACCTACAAATTGATTTTTTGATTTTATCAAGTCTCATAACTGACTATAAAAGTTATAGATTGGTGTAATTGACCTATATGAAGGTTGATAATATTAAGTATATATGTGTTAACTAGAGTAGAATAATCATATTTATGAGTTTTTTTTAAGGAGAGTATAATCATTTACATTATCAAAAGATGCCATTTTAACCATTTGAGTGCAAAAAAATTGTATCAATCGGAGATTCCAATCCCAGCTCATAGACTATGTTCAGATTAGTGTTAAAGTTTGAAACAAAGAGAAATGATATGAAAGAATGAATTGTTTTGTTGTTTAGTTTATCAAAACAAACATAATGAAAAATGATAGATTATGATCCATTTTATTATATTATTTGACTCCAATTTTCTTCACCCTAAATTTGAAGAGCACTTGACGAAACAAACTAATTAACAAAGTTTTAGATTATATAAAACTGATTTATCTTTACAAATTTAATCCTAATCATCAACCTCTTAAGGATAATATATTTAAAATAAGGATAACATGGAAATTAGAAAAATTATAACTTATCTCATTCCGTTCATTTACCAAACAATGAAATGAAACTATTCTTTCATTCCATTATAAAATATCTAAAGAATAAAAGAACATATTTATTTTATTTCATTTCAATCCACCACATTCCATTATATTTTTATTTTAATTACCGCTGACCCAAACATAACCACGTAAATAAAGTTATATTGAAAATTAAGGCTTTGTTTATTTCGTAGTTAGAAATTGGTCAAACGTCAAAGCAAAATCTTTGCTTTGAGATATTAGGAATGTGTTGTAATTTTTTTTTCCCAGTTTGTATTTGGTGATTAAGTATGAGTTAATCATCTATACATAACTAGTATAAAGTTTTTTACACTGATAACTAATCAGATCTGTTAATAATATTTTTTTATTTTAATTTAATTATATAAGCAAATGACATGATACTATTAACAGATCTGATTGGTTGCCAATGTAATTTTTTTTTACATTAACAATGTATAGATAATTAACTCGATTAAGTATATCAAATGAACCCTTAATGAGTGTGGTTATGGTCCAGCAAAAACAAAATACTATACTGCGACCGGACTTTTCTATCTTGGGCTGTCCTTTGTAATTTGGGCTAGGCTTGTATAAAAATCATTGCAATCCACCAAACTAGGCTATTTGTATGTTTGGGCCATAATTTTACAAGTTTTTGATTATATTGAATTATTTTTTAATTGAAATTAAATATATAAAAAGTTTGCTTTTGAATTTTAATAAAAAGGTTTAAACTGGAATAGTTATATTTTAAAATGTTTATATTACTGTGACTAAGCATATTTAAGTAAAAAAGAATTGTATGCAATAAAATGTGTCATTTTTAATAAAAATAAGTATTTAGTTATTATTAAATTTATGTATCAAAATAACGAGAAAAAAAAACTTTGTCTATTTGTTCCCACAAGAAAAAGTTCAAATTATCATCCAAAAAGGCTTTTTTTTGACAGCTCTTAAGTTATCGACTTATATCCTCCTATTGGATGAGTTTAAGTATATTAACGATTGTACGAGAGTTCAAACTCATTAAATGAACACACGTTCTTATATGTAAGTGTAAAATTTTTTACACAAAAAAAAATCATCAAAAAAATAAATAAAAAAAATACATATTCTCATAAAATATATAACCATAAAATCAATCACATATGATCAGCAAACAGAAAACTTATTTGAAGAGGGAAAAAGAAAAATGTTAATAATTTTTGAAAAATAAATTTAACACATTAGTTATTATTAAAAAATTTAATATAAATTTGATTAAAAATTATTTAGTCAGGCATATATAAAATTTCCATAGTAACAAAAAAGTATATTTCAAAAGAATATGGATGAAAAAGCTACACTTACAATTATTTTTTTTCTTCTATTCAGCATAATTTTAAACGAGTATTCAAATATACATAATGTCATACTATGCTGATAACAACGCTTTATTTACACATAAATAATCGAGTATATAAGATTTTTCTCAATAATAAGTAATGACTTGGTGGCTTCATGGAAGGACATGCAAATTAATATACCTAAACAGAACTTGATCGGATAGAATAAAATACAAAAAATTAAACAAATTATGATCTCTCGCTCTTTGGAAAATCTCAGAGTAAAGGATGCAATAGAAGGGAATCTTAAAGATGATGGTTCAGCTAAGCAGCAAGGAACAAAACACATACATATATACATCAAACCATTAGGCTAGCTTAGTAATACAAGAACTTAAGTTGGATCCATATTATAATTTCTGGAAACTAAATTCTCACTGCTACAAATTGTTTGTGCGATCAGACACAACGCAAACTCGGTTAACCGGGATCAACACAAGTTGACGAGCAACATCATTGAATTGGAGAACTCCTCCATTGCATTTTGATAGCAACCGAGCAGCTTCTTCCTTTGTCAATTTAACCCTCACTCTTATCCTTTCTTTTTCTCCAACATCATTGCCACTACCCCACCTTGTTTTCTCAAACTCCTTCTCACTGTCTTCTCCCAAAATGGTAGGTTCTGATTCTGCAAACCGGACAGTTTTCTTCACTACTGCCTTCTTTGGCGTTTGTTTTTTGGTTTGCTCGTCGCTGTAAACAGATTCTGTGATTTCAAGTGGTTCTACTTTGGCTTTTTTATGTGATGCTTTTCCATTAAAGCAAGCAAACATGATGCGAAACATTCTTAATTAACAACAAAGAGTTTTGAGTTTTATCAAGGAAGGAGAGAAGAGAAGGTTTAATTAGACACGGAGAAGGAGAGTGGTTGGTTAGTGTTGAGCAAAAGGGACAGGGAAGAGTGAATTTATACTAATATTTTGGTTTGGTTGAGAGCAGTAGCTAGCGTGAAGTGTCTAATAGGACAGACGAAGAAAATAATAGTAAAAGGTGCTAAGTTGCCTTGGAAACTTTATTAGCCAATGAGCGACCTAGGCATCAATCCTAGGAAATTTAGTGAGGACTTGAAATCTATTAGTCAAGTTTCTAGTGATTGAAATGTCAAGTTACATTCTCCCTCAACTTTTTTTTTTCCTCTTTTTGGTACATCTACGTACTGAACTTCTCAAAGGACTACAATCTCATGGTTGAAAGGGTCAATATATGAGTTTAGGGTTTTATTGGTATTTCAGAAGTGAGCTGAATAGACACGTGGACTAACTCTACAGCCTGTGACCGGTTCAAGAAAGTGACCTATGTCCATTTAAGAGAGACATTTTTGGCTTTGTTTAATCTTGTAATGCACATATGAAGTTTTAAGTGGTATCTTCTAAGTCACCTCTCCCAAGTTGCTTGATTAGTTATCGTGAAGGACTCGCTCAACTTAATTTACCTTATAAGTCTAGCGTGATGGCAGTGACAAGTGATCATATTAATTAATTAACTGTTTGTGATGAGTAACATAGATGGTCAAGAATTGTAATATAATTATGTAACATGGGAGGCTACTTGGTGGAGGGAATATCCGAGTTGAAGGCTCTAGTAAATTGGAAGTGATTTTCTAAAAGAACTATAATTTGATCCATATTATTATGTACAAATAGCATATTAAAAAAAAAAAAACTGAATCATCTGGATTTAGAGTCAATTATAAAGGAACTGTTAAAAGTATGTTTGGTTTAGCGTTCAAAGTTCAAACCATCGTGCATAAAATTAAATACGTGATAAAGTAAAAGTTATACATTGTTACTTAGCTTATAACATAATCGATTTTGACAAAAATGAAGGCAAGCTAATTAACTTGTAAGAAGTGTTAGAATAGTGGATTAAGCCTAACTCAACCCTACAAAACCGGCTTGTAAGGTGAGAGTTGCTTTCCACTTATATACTATTCAATTGCCTAATCTCTAGTCGATGTGGGACTTGAGTTTTTCTCAATACACCCCCTCACGTCCAGCACTATTGGGCTTGGTACGTGGATAAATGGTGGGTAACCCTTTTTTAATAATCTAGGATAGGTGGGACTTGGGTTTTTTCCCAATATCCAGCACTATTGGGCTTGGTACGTGGATAAATGGTGAGTGGCCCTTTTTAATGATCTAGGATTGGCAGTCCCACATCGACTAGAGATTAGACAATTGAATAGTATATAAGTAGAAAGCAACCCTCACCTTACAAGCCGGTTTTGTAGGGTTGAGTTAGGCTTAATCCACTATTCTAACATGGTATCAGAGCCAAGGTTCTATCACGGGCAAGTGAAGATTCAAATTGCTCCAATACCATGGGCCACCATATTGGGAAAAATCCAAGTCCCGCCAATCCTAGATCATTTAAAAAGGGTCACCCACCATTTAGATCCACTTTAAAAATGGGCAACCCTCACCTTACAAGCCGATTTTGTAGAGTTGAGTTAGGCTTAATCCACTATTCTAACATGGTATCAGAGTCATTTAGATCTACTTTAAAAATGGGTCACCCACCATTGATGCATGCCTCATAGGCATGAGGGGGTGTATTGGGAAAAATCCAAGTCCCGCCAATCCTAGATCATTATAAAAGGTCACCCACCATTTATCCATGTACCAAGCCTAGTAGTGCTGGACATGAGGGGGTGTATTGGGAAAAACCCAAGTCCCACATCGACTAGAGATTAGGCAATTGAATAGTATATAAGTGGAAAGCAACCCTCACTTTACAAGCCGATTTTGTAGGGTTGAGTTAGGCTTAATCCACTATTCTAACAAGAAGTTTAGGACATGAGTATGCATACAGGAGCTTAAGAAGGTATTAGCTAGTTGTATTTGGCAACTACTGGATTATACCAAAACCCAAGAAACATGCAGTGGAAGTTGGTCAAACAATTGAAGCAATCGCGTGTTGAAAATTGAAAAACTATTCTTAATTCATATGGGGTTAATTAAGTTCTGTTTTTTACTTGAAAAAAATGACATTATATTGACTCATTTTCCATTGCTTTCTTGTTCAGTCTAGGTTGAATATCATATCACGGCATCTTAGAAAGCGATACGAAGAATGAGTCATGGAGAAATTATGCAACGCGCTTTGGATTGAAATTAGACTGAGTCAATATGATTAAGTTTCGAAACCACAGTTAGCTTTAGTTACACATAGTTGTGTTACTATAAAATATTTGGGTTAAGTTGTTGTACATTCACTATATATAAGCTTTCTAAAGTCATGAACATCAGTGCATGCCATTCAAAGCCCCTTCTTCTGGACTGCATTTCATGTAAAAAATAAACTGAGGAATTTTTTTCTCAATTTTAAAACAGATTGAAAAGCTAATGGGCTTTTTTTTTCAAGGTTTCAAATGCAAATTTGAAGATGAGATTGTAATATTCTCACATTTATTGCGAGTTTTGAAAAATGATTTCTGAGTATTGTTTATTCTCAATAATCTTTTTATTACGTTTCTTATCTTTTTATTCCTATATTGAAGTGAAAATATAATATTCCTATGAGAATAATAGAAGCTACATCTTAACATATTTGTAACTTTTATTTTTAATTAATTTTTATTAAAAACATTTTAAATTTTAAGGAATATAGGATATAATCCAACACATTTTCTAAAGATACGTTGGAATAACATTCTGGTTAAAATTATTGGAAATGTCATTCTGGAAACTGCAACTTGATATATTGAAACAAGCAACCTTGGTTTTTTTTCGCAAATAATTTAAAATGATGTTTATTTTTGCTTTATTTCTTAATTTTAAAATGTTTTTAAAAGAAACTGTCAAATTTATTTTTGAAAAGAAACAATAAAAACAAAAGTTTTTCAAAATAAGTTATTCTCTGTTAAGGAAAAATAAGTTTTATAATTAAACTTATTAGAGTTTCTTTCTTCGAAGTGAAAGTGAAATTTAGTTTTAAATCACTTTTAGTGGATTTTAGTTGTAAAAACATTAAATTATGTAATTTATTTTCTATTTCCTTCAAAAGACATATTTTTATCTTATCTAGCTATCATTATTGTTATCTCTATTTCGTTATATCATTGTTATAGAAGTGTAATATATTATTTAATTTAAAATACTATTCTTTTCAAACTATAATAAGATAATGTAAAAAAAATAATTAAAAAAAAAAACTACAATTGTATAATTCTTTTTTAAATTAAAACTTAAATATTAACAAGCAAATCTTATAAAGTCTTAATATTTTTTTTAAACTTTGAAAGTGCTTATTAGTTTAAGTCATTTTATGGTTGGATGGAGAGAGATTGAGATAGTTAAAAGTATGAGAACCTAAGTTTAATCTTCATTGCGATTATTTTTTGTAATTTTTTTCTTTACAAAAAAAATGTTTAAGTCGCTTTAAAAAAATGTCAATATAAACTTTTCATTAATAAAGCTTGCACGAAACTATAAATTGCAAAACTGTTAAGAGCATTTGAGTTGGCTTATTAGTAAAGGATTTGAGTATATTTTTGTATGATGTTCTTACTTCTTAGATTAAATTTCATTTTACCTAAATGGTTTTTATAGCACACTGTTATCTAATCTTAAATATTTTTACTTTTATAATATTTGTTTTAAAAGTCATATTTATAATAATTTATAATTAATTAAATGTGTAAGTTTATTTTAAAAATGGTAATAATAAAGTCAAAAATTAAAATTTTGTACATAATATTCAATTTTTCTACACTTAACCAATCTTAGTGCTAGTTATATACTTATATTATATAAACTAGAAAGGTTGAGACACTTCGTGCCTCTAATAATTATACACAGATAAATATTAGCAATTATAAAAGATAATTTTTTTATATATATTCAAGAATATAAAAGTTCATTAAGACCATAAAAATAATTACTAAAATGTATCTCCTTTATAATAAGTATAGACACATAGTACTACTCCTTCGACCATATATTTTGGTAGTTACGTTTTATTGCAACCAAAAGTTTTCAGTTTCCATTTACCCTCTTTTTGCAGTGCACCGCACGGCTGGATTTTAAAATTTGTCGTTCCATAAATAAAACAAAATTACAACTACTTTGTTATTGTTTGTTTTTTATGAAGAACAAAGGGTTTAATTAAGAAAATAAAAATTAGAGTATTAAATATAATATATTTATTATTATATTAAAGTATTAAAAAATTTAATAATTAATTTAAATTATTATAACCGTTTAATTAATAAGATGATAATTATATTTCTAAATTAATATTTTTAAAATACTTATTAACAATTTGTCCCTATAAAATTTTTGAATACTCATCTACATAGCAAAGTTCTCATTCAGACACTCTTACTTGTTCAAACGTTTTAAAGAAGTCAAGTCTTATTCTTTAACTATTATTATTAGTATTTTATGTACATACTGTTTTTTTCACACAAAATAAAGTATCTACAATTATGGGGCAAAATTTGATGATCGAAGAAAAGTTTTATTAAATAAATATTATGTTTAGTGAATTTATTAAAACAAATTAAACCTGAGATTACTTTTGTTTATAAAATTTATTAAATCCAACTTTTTTAATAAAAAATAATAAAGAATGTATTAAATTATTATTATGTAATTATTTATCATTTAAAATTCTAAAACTTAAATGGAGTCAGAACATTTTCTTTAAGGAGACTAAATATAAAAACTAAATTATAATTTTAAAATTGATTTACTTTTAATTAAAAATTATTAAATTCGTAGTATTTGACCACATATAACAAAAAACCAAAATTATATAAATTAAATAAAGGATACAATATAAAACGTTATAACAAGTAAAAATATATATAATTAAATATCAAATTTTGTTAAAGTAAAACTTAATATTTAACCTGATTATAATAAACAATAGATTTTTTGCTTCAAAAAGTGAAATAATATTCTCTTATTTTTAATTTCTTTTAATAAAATAAAAGACCAAGAGTCTTATTACATTTGTGAAGTATTTACTAATTTTATTGATAATTAATTTTTATCATGAATTTAACTAATTATTTTTAATAAAATCTTTCTTTTTAAGATAAATTTTATTCATAAAATTCGAATTTAATATGTTGAGTGGGATTCACTTTCCTATTTCTATTGTGATTTGTGAATGAATTTTCTTCTTTTCAGTACTCCTCCTATCCCATTCTTTTATAATAATCTGAAAACTAGTTTAGAGTGTAAATGACAATTTCAGGAACTAATTTTAAAATATAAGAGTGTGACAGACGAGAAAACTAAGAAGGTGCAAATAGAATTATGCTCCCGAATCAGTATGACAATGTTCGTTGGTTATTTAATGCAATAATTAGGCCCAAACATCAAAGTTGAGAGTGTATGCAACAAAATTGGGCTTGTCTAACGCAATGTGTATATATTATGGACTCAAGGTCTAACGCAATGTGTGAGACCAAGAAACATGGTTAACATTTGTGGAGTGATGATGGACAATTGCCAGAGTTGTATGATTGTGAAATCTGAAAAGAATTTCCCATACAGGGATGTGAAAAAATCTAAACCCATCTGAAAATTAATCTAATCTACTTTATAAAAAAACTAGATCGATTAATCACTTCGTTTCTACAGTGCCTATATAAATTTGATAGATTTTGAAATTGTTAATTTTTAAATTAATAATAGTTATTTATTTATTTTTTTTTATCATATTATATTTTTATATTTATATCAAATAATTGGTTAGAAATATTGTAAATATTTGAAATCGGTGAACAAATAAAGTAAGAATTAAATGTCTCACCTTTTGTCAGATTAAACTAATATTACATTTTTACTTCACATTTCATAGGTCTTTAAAATTTTATTTCTATACTTCTATTGAGTGATTAATATTCAAAAAAATAGTTAAAATGTGAAGAAAAAAAAACCTATATAAATATAAAACATGTAATTCAATAGTAAAAAAAACTGTACTAATACACCTCAATTTATGAGGGTATCATAATAACATTCTTTTATTTATCGTCATCAAATTTTCTTTATTTTCTATCTTGCAGCTTTCAACTGGAATCAATATATTGTGATTTGTGATGCTATATGGTTTTATGCCGATTATTCTGTACAAGCCTTATAGTTTTAAGTTTGTTTACCAATGGCAGGCAGATAACCCTATTTCCCATTTCTAGTTATCTAGACACCATCACCACTCACCACCGCTTACATAGCATAAAAAATTTGGATTTGATGAAAATTTAAATTTATGGCATTCTGTGAACTACACAAATACAAATACTCACAGTTATCTCAAATATAATATTGCAGTCAGTAAAAAGTGGGTGATTGACCATATTGGGTCAGTTTCCCAACTTAATTACGTAAATGGGGTTGTTTTTAAACAATATACACTTTTGGGGCACTTTTAACGGTGTTGCTATGGGCCATAGCGACACCAGTGACACGTGGCATTTTTGTAACTCCAGCGAAGCCATGAAAGTCATATTAATAATGTCGTTACAGCCTATAGCGACACAAAACAGCTCCACTGAAGTCATTATAGCCTACAGCGTCAAATATTTAATATAAAAAAATAGTTTTACTATAAGTAAATAATTTTTAAAAAAATAATTTGTGAAAGTGGCGCTATGGCCTATAGCGACACTGTGTTGCTATAGCCCATAGCGCCACCCAGTTAAAAATTAAAAATGATAAAAAGAGAAAAAAAAAATATATAACATAAACAAAAAAATAGAAAAGATAATTATATAAATATAGATTTATATGAAAATCAGAAAATAAATTAAAATCTGGAAAAAATTAATTAAGTTAATAATTTAAAAAAAATAAAAAAATAAAACAAAAAAAAGAAGTAGCAGTGTTCATAGTGACACTACTTTTAATTTTTTTTTTCCACATTCAGGAAAAAAAAGAAGAAAAAAAAGTCAAAAAAAGTGGTAGTGTCCATAGCGACACTGCTTTTAATTTTTTTTTCCTTTTTTAATTACGCATTTTTGGTTTAGTATTTTTTAATTAACATATAAAAGAATTATTAATACACTTAAACAATGTGGAAGAAAATATATGCACAAAGTTTTGATGATGCCAAAGCATTGAAGAAAATAAAGGTCAAGTTAAAGCAAGCTGATCAAGAAGTAAGATCTCAAGTAATAATTAGATAAGTCTTGACTGCTTAGCTTAGTATGTAAAATGAACTGTTAGAATTTGCAAATTTCACTTAGCCATTAAAGTAAGAATTTTAAGAAAACCTAAACTTAATACTTTTGAATATAAGAATAAGTTGTTTGAAAATAAAGCAAAAAGAGTATTCAAAAGATTAAACAAAAATATTTTTAACTGGAAAATAGAAGCCCTTTATATCTTAAGTTTTCATAAGCCAAAACAAGTGACATGTTTCTGGTAATCGATTACCACTTGCTGTAATCGATTACCAGAGAAAGAAAACCTTTCAAAATGTTAAAATGCTCTCTGGTAATCGATTACCACTGACTGTAATCGATTACCAGAAAAGAAATTTTCAAAATTCGAATTTAAACTATACAACGTTTCAAACATTTTGAACTTAAACCGTTGTAATCGATTACCAAGTCTTGTAATCGATTACCAGAGCCTATTTTCTGAAAAATTATAGAGAGTTACAACTCTTCATGAAAAGACATAACTCAAGATACAATTGTCTATAAATACCTATAATTTTTCAGAGAAAGGTGACGAACTCAATTGTGAAAAATTATCTTTACAAATCACTTGGCCAAAATCATTTGCAAAATCTCTAAAGAGTTCATCAAAGATCATGAAAGTGTAATATCCACTCTTCAAGAGAGTCATTCTGTAATACTTAATAGATCATTGGATCTGTAAAGGAGAAAGGGTTTTTCTCCTTGTTGGTGTTTGAATCTCAACACAAGGAAAGGGAGTTCCGAGGTGTTGGAGGATTCATTTTCTTGTAAGGTTTACAAGAGTAGTGGAAATCTCAAGTGGGAGACTTGAGGACTGGATGTAGGCAGGATTGGCCGAACCAGTATAAAATCAAGTTTGCAATTCTTCTTTCCCTACACTTTTAATTTCTTGTTATTAATTATAATTGTGTAGTTTGCATCATCATTTATTCTTTACATTCAAATTTGTCTAAGGAAATAAATTGATAAAGAAGTAATTGGAAAAGTTTTTTTTTAAGAGAAAATTTAGTAAACTTAATTCACCCCCCTCTTAAGTTAATTAAGACTAAGGGACTAACAAACAATAAAAAGAAATAAAATTACATGAAACATAAACATATAAAATAAAATTTATATTAAACAAATATATAAAAAAAACGTCAAAAAAAGTGGCGCTATGGCCTATAGTGACACTGTGTCGCTATAGTCCATAGTGCCACCTAATTAAAAATTAAAAATGATAAAAAGAGAAAAAAAAAATATATAACATAAAAAAAATAGAAAAGATAATTATATAAATATAGATTTATATGAAAATCAGAAAATAAATTAAAATCTGGAAAAAATTAATTAAGTTAATAATTTAAAAAAAAAGAAAAAAAAAGTCAAAAAAAAGTGGCAGTGTCCATAATGACATTGCTTTTAATTTTTTTTTCATTTGTTCTAATTACGCATTTTGATTTAGTATTTTTTAATTAACATATAAAAAAATTATTTTACATTTTTATTTTATTTACTTATTTTTTCCACAATTTTTTTTTTAATTTAACATAATATAATATAATATAATTTTAATTATTCAGTTTGTTTACTTTGAATTAAAAATACAAAAACGAATAATTATAAATAAAACGTGATTATTTTGCAAAAAATAAAAATAAAAAATGCAAGGCGCTATGGCTCATAGCGACATATGAGCGACACAATGTCGCTATGACCCATAACACCTCTCTTAAAAAATACGTAAAATTTATTTTAAAATTACTTTTTTTAAAAACTTAATTTTATTTTTATAAATATTTAATAAATAACTCAGTTTATTATTTTTATTTTACATTTCTATTATTTTCGTTTTTTTTCTTAGAGGGTGTCGCTATGGGCTACATCATTTTTGTTAGTCCATCAACTGTGTTGGCCTAGCCTATAGTGACACTGATGTGGCTCATTCCAGCCCATCTAGACAAAAAAAAAAATTGCCACGTGTCATGGGTGTTGCTATGGCCCATAGCGACACTGTTGTAAATGACCCCAAAAACGTAATTAGTTACAAAACAGCCCGAATTACGTAATAAACTTTTAAAAGGAAACTTATTCAATAATCATGATACATAAGACATTATTCTATAATCATGATACATAAGACACCTAGTGGGACAGCTTTGGTTGTTGTTGTAATCATGATACACAAATAACTATAATTAAATTTATAAATTCAATAATGTAGAACAGAATATAAGAAAAAGAAAGAAATGCGAGCAAATTGACCCTGAAACAAATAAGCCATTATGAAAGGTACTGGTAAAGCTTTTTTTTTATCATGTTAGAATATTTCAACTGCTACATAATTTTTTTTTCTTATTTTGAAAATGTTTAAATTAAAAAATGACTATGCACAGATAATTGTCATCCATAAAATATACGGATGATACATTGCATAGGCATTAAATAAAGAAAAGAAGAAAACAGGGATTGTTGTTTTTGTTATATTCGATTTGGAGGGAACAAAACAACCTTTGTACATGTCAACGTTGTTAATTGCGGGTGGGGGCAAAAGTGTCTTTCCGCAATAACCGCAAGAGCAAACTGAACTTGTATAGCGAACACGCGCGTCTGGGGGCTTGGAGTCTCATACATTCTATTTGCACAGAGGAAAGTGTTCATCAACATCATCATTCATCTTGTACCCTTCTCTTCTCTTTTTCTCCATTCTTAAATTTCACTTGTAATTCTATCAATTCTTCGCTGGCACTTGTAACCTGTAGCTGAAGCTGTTGTGCCACATGTTTTTATTTTATTTTATTTTATAGAGTTTACAGCTTTCCGTACTTTTCCTTTCGCCTCTAAATGATGAGTTTATCTTACGATCCTCGCTCAGTCTGGAGTATTAGGGTTGGTAATTCAGCTAATATGTCTTGATCTACTTAATAATACTTCTGATTGCGACTCTCGATTTATTTTCACTTTCAGGTTTATTAATTATTATTACGATTACTATGTCTGTTCTTTGTTTTCACTTTTCAGACGTTTCTCTTTCCCTATCTTGTGGCTTTTTCTGGGTACTATCCAACTATTTTAAATTTAT